CTTCTTCCTCTTCTAAGTCCACCATCTCTCCCTCACCCTCTCGCTACCTAACTTCTCAGTATCTGCAGACTACGAGAGAGAGAGAGAGAGAGAGATTGGTGACTTCGGGACTTGACGACATTTGGATCCAGACTCCACATTGGGATTGAGAAATTGGACAAGGGATTATTCGGGACCTATACCGAAGACTTGGTGTTGAAGACATTCCCGTCTTCCCCTCTTCTTCGTCTAACCCCCCCCTCCTCTTCGTCAGTGTATGGTTGGGGACTGGCACATTCTTCCTGTCTGAGCGCCAGGCCCCTTCACACCATGGAATGATGATGATGTATGTTTGGTCTGCATTGCAACATTGATTGTTCGGGTCATTGGTATATTAGCCTTCCGCTGCGCTTTCTTGTACTATGTGAGAGAGGTCGGTTCTTGTTCTGGTCTGCACCTTTACGGTATGCGACATCCAAGGGGTCCAGTGTTTTGAGAACACAGGACCCTCAGAAGCAGCAAATTTGGACGGGTTTTCGGTAAAAAAACTCGGTTTCAATTCCGTTCAAAAAATACAAAAACGTCCATTTTGACGAAATGGCAGACATCTCAAATTGACTCTTGACCCTGGGCCTACCAACAACCTAAGGGGCTTTCTGGTGCCCCTTCAGAGGCAGAAAAGCGACTTTTGGATCCTAGAACTTTGATCTTACGCAAAGTTATGCCCCCTACTGTCTTCGCCCGAGTACAATGTACGGTCGTTATCGCTGCATCTGGTCTGAAAGTTGCCCCAAATACAGCTATACTGACCGGGCGTTCTATTCGGGTGAAGACGGTAGTCAAGTCTGTATGGAATTCATATCAGGAGAAAGGCCTCGGCTGAAATGATGTTCGAAGTTTATTTCAATTAACACTACTCTGTCGCATAAGTAGCGACCTGCACGAATGGTGTAACGACTGGCCCGCTGTCATATTAAAGCTGAAGCCGGATCAAATTTCAATCTATTTTTTGCTTAGAAAAAATATTGCATAAGCCGCATAACAAAATATAATCTATTAGTTCTAGAGAGTTATCGCGGTCTTTAGGACCAATTGTTGATCCCTGAACATTGCTAGGTCAAAAGTTGTTAAGCCCCTTAGACTTTGCGCCTCTGGTTCTGAGCATCTATTCCATCCTTCGACTCTGTAGGGGTCTTCAGGTTAAGGGTCTTTGACTGAGACAAGGACTAGACCATATTATGTAGGACTAAGGGCCATTCTGATGGACTTGGGGACCTATTTCTCATGCCCAGTCATAATTCGTACTTTGGGTGCATGTTTCTGGGCTGGATTTGAACCACGGTAACCGACCGGACGTCCGGACCGGGTTCCAGACAGTCCGGAACAACATGTCTGGGTCCGTGATGTCCGGATGGAGGCCCCAGGGCAAAAATCGAAAAAAAAAAAAAAAAGGGGCGGGCCAGGATGTTTTTCGGGTCCTGGCTGCCCCTTGAAAAATAACGGGGTGATTTTTCAGTGTCATTTCACGCCACCGGACAGGGCCTAGAGGTCCGGACGCAACACACTGCAGGTTTTTGGGTGGCGGGTTTCACACAGGCCCGAGCAATTTCACAGCGGCCGTTTCGACGTGCCACACGCCGCTGCTGCCCGTTGGAGAGAGAGAGAGAGAGAGAGAGAGAGAGAGAGAGAGAGAGAGAGAGAGAGAGAGAGAGAGAGAGAGAGAGAGAGAG